GTCTGTCGTATGTCCGTCTGTCGTATGTCCGTCTGTCGTATGTCTGTCTGTCTGTCGTATGTCCGTCTGTCGTATGTCTATGTCTGTCTGTCGTATGTCCGTCTGTCGTATGTCCGTCTGTCGTAAGTCTATGTCTGTCTGTGGTATGTCCGTCTGTTGTATGTCCGTCTGTTGTATGTCTGTCTTTCGTATGTCCGTCTGTCCTCGTCCGTCCATTCGTGCATCTGTCACTGCAGTTTGTGCAATCCTCTGTCCTATTGTCGTATTTCTGTCCTCATTCATCCTTCTGTTTTATTTTGCCCAGTCGTCTGTCTTTCTGTCCATTTGTTGTACGTATGTCTGTCCTCGTTCGTCTGTCTTTCTATCCTATGTCTATCCTAGTCTGTTAGTTTGTCTGTGTGTTCATCCATCCTGCCATTTTTGCCCCTACTTCTGTCCACGGTTTGTCCATCCATATGTGTGTGTGTGATTGTCTTTTGACTCCAACATATCTCCACCCCCACAAACAGGTTGTAGATGTTGTCGCATATTGTTTGGACCAAAAAAGTATTAAAGAAAGAGGACTGACTGAGCTATTCCCAGGGCTTTGCAGGTAACGTGTTTCAAAGGTGGTCCTTTTTTAAAAAAAATAATACGCAAATTGTTATGTAGTGCACCTTAACAGGTTTATGAAAAGTAAAATGTTGATGACCAATTTGTTGACAGGTTCAATATGGTGAGCTATTCACATCAGTCACGTCGCTTAGCTGTTGGTGCAAAGACTGGACAGATTGCCCTGTATGACCTTCGTTCTTCAAGATGCCAGGTACAGCTGTAAGAGATATTTCAGTGTCACTTTCATCGCATGGTGGCAGTACTCTATTGATCTTTCTTCTTCTTCTTCTTCTTCTTCCTCCTCCTTTCCTTCCTTGCTTGCTTGCTTCCTGCCTTGCTTGCTTGCTTGCTTACTTCCTTCATTCACAGTTTTATTTCTTTATTTCAGATGGTTAATGCCCACAAGTCTCCAGTAATAGCTCTATCTTTCTCCCCTGACGATAAGGTCCTTGCCTCCTACAGCTATGGAGACTCTGCCATCTGTTTCTGGCAGGTATGTGAAAACTGGGCTTCCTGTGTATTAGGATCTAGGCCTCCTATACTAGTCACTACTGGTCACACCAGAGGAAGCCCAATTTAGATTAAAATGTTACCCTAATGTTAAATTCTTGCCAATCCAAAGTAACCCTAGCCGGAGGAAACAGATAATAATAATAATAATAATAATAATAATAATAATAATAATAATAATAAT